TTATAATGGGTTTCCAAGTATGTCAGTTTGCCCACTTTGCACCTGCCATGTCTACTTGCTGTTTTACTGTGCTTCCTTGCAAAAAGCAGAGTGTTGTGATAGTAGCACAGAATACATTTGCATCATTATGATTTCTAGTTCATTAGTACAATGAGAGGAACAAATTGTTTTTCAGCATAAAGTAGCGTTTACATCATTAAAGAGTCAGATCGTCTGGAAGTGATATTTCACTTATTAGTGTTACAAGTCACCTGCTGGCTTTTTATATCTCTTGGTAACTCTGGAGGCCAGATCTTCTTGTCATGGTTCCCAGATCTGTTTCTATCCACTGTATAATGTTGAACTGTTTCCATTCCTTTTGCTTCAATTTCCTCATTATAAAATAATTTACAAATCCAACAGGGAGAATGGAATCCCCTTAAATATTTGCAGCGGGGGCTTGTGTCTGAAAACCCGGATGCAAAGATTTTGAGATTGGTACATAAACTGTGCTGCACTAGACATATAAACCAACATCTTCCACCTTCTTCCGGAAGATGTCATATTATAACAAAATTGGTGCTGCACTCCCACACTTATACTTATATAAATAATTAAATCAAAAATGAGCTATCAGTTACACCCCTAGTGAATCCTCCTGTGTGTAATTATCCCAAACTCAATTCTTCATATTATTATACAATCTTATGCAGTGATGTTTGATAAACCATATGAAATAAAATAAAAATGTGCAAAACGCATAAAAACACAATACATAAACCCAAATACATAACTGCTAAAACCAACGGCCACTATTCAATACTCCTACTACTCGACCTCTACGCGGCTTTTGATACGGTTGACCATCCCCTCCTCCTCAAAAAACTCCACTCTCTTGGCCTCAGAGACTCCGCTCTCTCCTGGTTCTCCTATCTATCGCAGCGCTCCTTCAGTGTTACCTATAACGCTGCCACCTCCTCTTCACTCCCTCTTTCTGTAGGGGTCCCTTAAGGATCTGTCCTTGGACCCCTTCTCTTCTCCATCTACACCTCCTCCCTTGGTCAATTGATAAGCTCCCACGGCTTCAATTACCATCTCTATGCTGATGACATGCAAATCTATTTGTCTACCCCTCATCTCACCCCTTCAGTCTCCACTGGCATCACTAGCCTACTAAGTGACATATCGGCTTGGATGTCACTCCACTTCCTCAAACTCAATCTTTCCAAAACTGGGCTCTTAGTATTCCCCCCACCCCGTGCCCCCTCCCCTGACTTCTCAATCAAGATCAATAACACAATCATCAGTCCCTCCCCTCATGCCAACGTACTAGGTGTAATCCTAGACTCCCATCTGTCCTTCCAGCCCCAGATCCAATTGCTGACAAAATCATGTAGACTTAACCTCTGCAACATCCAAGATTCAACCGTTCCTAACCTTGAAAACCACTAAGCAACTTATTCACTCCCTTGTCATATTTCACCTCAACTATTGTAACCCCCTCCTCATTGCAGGCTATCTGTCAGAGCCTGGGTTTGAACCTGGGCCCACTGTGGTGAGGGACAGTGTCTCTTCTTGCTGAGCCACCTGGAATGCTGGACAGCTCCCTTGACAATTCTTTGGATGATCCTGCCTTGGCCCTGTTTGTCTTGAACCTTGAACTCCTTGCTCTTCCCATGAACGTCCTATAAAAGCCATGTCCATGCACTTCCTCCTTGTCAGATTATTGTGCCTTCCCAGCCAATATCCTGCTTTGTTTCTGCTGTTGTCTACATCTTCGTTACCGACCTTTGGCTTGCTACTGACTACGATTTTGCCTCATCCTAATCTACTACCATTTGTGACCGACCCTTGGCTTGTGACTGACTCTGCTTCCGTTTGATCCCTAAACTGTTTGATCTGCTATTGGTCTCCAGCTTGCTCATTCCCTGGTGGGGTGATCCTGAGATCTGCGACATGGTATTAACACGCAGCCAAATCCATCTCCACCATTAGGAGCTTTGGTGAAAACCGGTTAATACTTAGACCCCGCACCTCAGGTGAGCCTGCGTCATTCCCAGGGGGACCCGCTGGTGTACCTATCCTGCTGGTTTCAGGTAAGCCTTACACTGCTGTAGCAATTGGTCTCTGAACCTGACCCAGACCGTGACACTATCCCCACTTCAGTCTATCATGAATGCCGCTGCTAGACTCATCCACCTTACTAACCGTTCTGTATCTGCCACCCCTCTCTGCCAGTCCCTCCACTGGCTCCCAGTTGCCCAACGGATAAAATTCAAAACACTAACAATGACATATAAAGCCATTCATAACACTGCCCCAAATTACATAACCGATCTTGTCTCTAAATATCACCCAAACCGTACCCTCTGCTCCTCACAAAACCTCCTACTCTCTAGCTCCCTTGTCTCCTCCTCCCATGCTCGTCTCCAGGACTTCTCCAGGGCTTCCCCCATCCTCTGGAACTCCCTACCCCAATCTATCAGATTATTGCCTACTCTACTGACTTTTAAGCGATCACTAAAAACCTATCTCTTCAGGGAAGCCTATCCTGCCCTTGCTAATACAGGAGTCCTCTACTCTTCCAAACACTCCATCCCCCACAGTTATTACCTGTTGTACCATTAACCCCTCCCTTCTAGATTGTAAGCTCCAAGGAGCAGGGCCCTTAAATCCCTCTTGTATTGAATTGTATTGTCTCCCACTATAGTGTAAAGCGCTGATTAAACTGTTGGCGCTATATAAATCCTGTATAATGTAATGTACAGCGCTGAGCGAACTGTTGGCGCTGTATAAATACTGTATAATAATAATAAACCCACTTGTGTCCCTAAACAGGGTGAAATCACAAACCTGTATTAAACCACACATGATAAAACACTTGGCATAAATAAATGCCCAAAGATGCAGTGGAAATAAGCTGACAAATGGCACTATTGTGCCTATAGAAACAAACAATAGGACAGTCAGGATAAATGGACCCTGACTATAAAACAATCTACAAGGATTATAACAAATCATTCAACATAAATGTGTGACCACCACTCAACAAGTGCCCACATGTACCAAAGTATAAATTGCCATGCTCTCATCCCTAAACTTGGGACTATACTGGTATATAAAGAGCAGGAAGAAAAAAAAAAAATAGAAATAAAAAAAGAAATAAAAATTAAATAAAATATTGAGTGAATCCACAAATGAAATCCAGTGACACTCCAGTGACACTCTATGATAAACACATAACCTAAATTTATAACAAAGTCCACAAAAACACGTGCCATCAATTAGTAATAAACAATAAACAAATCGTCCATGTGTGTAATCTTCAATATGGCTGGATATATAGAAACCTCCAGTGATCAATCTAAATCTGGCAGGTGAACAAAAAGTGTAATCCTTCACCAGTAAGATTGCCCCCTCACCTTCATGAAGCGACCACACAGGATCAAACCGCTTTTTTGCTATTAAGCACAGCCAACCGCTCAATCCTCCACGTCAGATTTGGTATCACAAACAGTGGTGGTATCCCCCTTCAGAACTTACAGGTATCACCTCTCCTGATATCCGGATGGTTTTTTCATGATCTATTTGTACCTCAGCTTCCTCATCGATGTTTATAAAACAAGAAGAAGAATCCTTCCATCGTGTGATATTGTTTCATTTATTGATATAAAAGAATACTATAAATGCTCACTCACATGTGTTATGAGAAAGAAAATGCTCACAGATCCTCATAGGAACTCCTGGGTGTACTCCTATGGGTGTATCAAGATGGTGCTTCTGCCGGAAGTGATGTCACCACGTCTCCGTCTCTCGTCCGACTAGTTGCGCCACTAATCGCGTTACTTCACCAGGAACTTGTGATGAAACATGCCAGGGTTTAATTGGTTTAAATATTTAGCTCAGCACAATTTATGAACCAAAAAATAAAAATTTTTGAAAATCAAAAAAGCAATACTTACCCTATCTCTGACATGGTTTTCTAGATAACTGATGATCAAGACTCACCCATCACTGGAAGAAAAATTGTGGTGTTCAAGATAAATAAATAAATAGATCAACAAAGAGATAGATAGATAGATAGATAGATAGATACACACTATATTGCCAAAAGTATTGGGACGCCTGCCTTTAACTTCAATGGCATCCCAGTCTTAGTCCTTAAGGTTACATTTTGAGTTGGCCTACCTTTTTTCAGATATAACAGCTTCAGCTCTTCTGGTAAGCTTGTCCACAAGGTGTTTAGGAGTGTGTTAATGGGGAGTGTTTGACCATTCTTCCAGATGCACATTTGTGAGGTCAGGCACTGATGTCGGACAAAGAAGGCCTGGCTCGCAGTCTCCGCTCTAATTCTTCCCAAAAGTGTTCTGTCAGCTTGAGGTCAGGACTGTGTGAAGGCCAGTCAAGTTCCACCACCCCAAACTCACTCATCCATGTCTTCATGGACCTTGCTTTGTGCACTGGTGCGCAGTCATGTTGGAACAAGAAGGGGCCATCTCCAAACTGTTCCCACAAAGTTGGGAGCATGAAATTGTCCAAAATATCTTGGTATGCTGACGCCTTAAGAGTTCCCTTCACTGGAACCCTGGAAGGGGCCAAACCCAACCCCTAAAAAAAACAACCCCACACCATAATCCCCCCCCCCCCCCCCCTCCACCAAACTGTACACTTGCTCTCCTGGCAACCACCAAACCCAGACACGTCCATCGGATTGCCAGACAGAGAAGCGTGATTCGTCACTCCAGAGAATACGTCTCCACTGCTCTAGAGTCCAGTGGTAGCGTGCTTTACACCACTGCATCCGACGCTTTGCATTGCACTTGGTGATGGAAGGCTTGGATGGAGCTTCTCAGCCATGGAAACCCATTCCATGAAGCTCTTTATGCACAGTTGTACAAATCTGAAGGCCACACTAAGTTTGGAGGTCTTTAGCTATTGACTCTTGGCCACATCTGCACACTGTGCACTTCAGCATGCGCTGACCCCGCTCTGTCATTTTACGTGGCCTACCACTTTGTGGCTGCTGTTGTTCCCAGTTGCTTCCACTTTGTTATAATACCACTAACATTTTGCTGCGGAATATTTATTAGCAAGGAAATGCCATGGATGGACTTATTGCACAGGTGACAACTTATCATGGTACCACGCTGGAATTGACTGAGCTCCTGAGAGTGACCCATTCTTTCACAAATGTTTGTAAAAGCAGTCTGCATACCTAGGTGCTTAATTTTATACACCTGTGGCCAATGATTTGGAGGGGGTTGCCAATACTTTTGGCAATATATGGTGTCCGTTTATGAACCAGGAGTAATAGATTGCTGCTCAGTTCTCCGGCATTCTCGGAGAACACAGTTCTCCCGTGAATGCCGTTTATGAAGCATATGTAGATCAGTTCTCCAAACGAAGGGAGAACGGTCTACAAACGCTGGAAAACGGCTGATTTTACTATAATCTCGCGAGATTACAGTAAAAGATCAGTTTACTAAACGGAGGTAAATTATCTCTGCTTAGTTTTCGGTCCCTCCGATTCTCTAGCTCTGGGCTAGAGAATCTGGAGGGAGAACACAGATCTCCAGAGAAGGGCTGAACATATTCTCCTGGGTGTCATAAACTGTGAATGACCAGAGAATAGCTGTGATCCTCTGAATTGCAGCTATTCTGTGTGTCATAAAAGGACACCATAGTGTATGTAAAAGGAATATCACTATGAAGTCCTCTACCTACTTTTGGTAATATAGTGTGTGTGTGTATGTGTGTATGTATATATATATATATATATATATATATATATATATATATATATATGCCATTAACATTCATGTGCCTGTAAAGGCAGGCGTCCCAATACTTTTGTAAATATAGTGTGTGTGTATGTGTAATATATATATATATATAATTACACAGTGCTCAGCATAAATGAGTACACCCCTTTTTAAAAGTAAGGTTTTAATCAATATCTCAATGAACACACGGACAATTTCCAAAATTTTGACAAAGCTGAGTTTTACAGACCATTTGTTTGCTCGTTACATGAAAGTAAGGTTAATAATATAACTTAGATTACAAAAGTTTCGGTTTACTCTAATTGATGCAAAAATGAATACACCCCACAGCAAAAACTACTCCATCTAGTATTTTGTATGACCTCTGTGATTTTTTAAGACAGCACCAAGTCTTCTAGGCATGGAATTAAGAAGTTGGTGACATTGCAACATCTGTCTTTTTCCATTCTTCAAGAACGACATTTTTTAGATCCTGGATGGAGAGTGATGCTCAACTTGTCTCTTCAGAATTCCCCATAGGTGTTTGTTTGTGTTCAGATTAGGAGATATATTTGGCCACTGAATCACTTACACCCTGTTCTTCTTCAGAAATGCAACAGTGGCCTTAGATGTGTGTGTGTTTTGGATCATTGTCATGGTGGAAAAATGCACGATGACCAAGGGCACGGAGTGATGTTAACATCTTATCTTTCAATATAGAGTAGTACATCTGTGAATTCATGATACCACCAATGAAATGCAGCTCCCCGACACCAGTAGCACTCATGCAGCCCTACAGAAGGATACTGCCAGCACCATATTTCGCTGTAGGCACCATGCATTTTTCTTTGTACTCCTCACCTTTTGAGACGCCATATAGTTTTGAAGCCATCAGTTCCAAAAACATCTATCTTGGTATCATCACTTTGGAGTACAGAGTTCCAGTAGTCTTTTTCTTTCAGCATGGGCCCTGGAAAATTCTAGGCAGGCTTTTTTGTGCATGGCCTTTAGGAGAGACTTCCTTCGTGGACGACACCTATGCATGCCATTCCTCAGCAATGTACATCGTATTGTGTCACAGGAAACCATCATCCCAATTTGGCTTTCTACTTCTTTAGCTACCTGCAGTAAACTTGTATGGCGATTTTCTTTAACCCTCCTAATCAGAAGACACTCTTGTCAAGGTTTTAACTTCCGTGGACAGCCTGGACGTCTCTGTGAGGTGGTTGCAGTTCCATATTTGTAAACTTTTTGTATCACTTTTGCTACAGTATTCTGACTGATAAGTAAAGCTTTGTAAATCTTTGCTTTGTAAATCTTCTTGTAGCCTTCACCTTTCTTGTGTAAAGAAATTATATTCTTTTCTCGGGCCTTGTGACATTTCTCTTCCATGTGGTGCCATTGCTGCCAGCATGAAATGGGAAGGGGTTTTCTTTGTTAAGTAACGCCCTTCTATAATCAATTGTCTGCTGGACACCTGTTTAATAATTGGACTCACTTGTAGTTGAATTCTTGTTAATTAGGATTTTGTTGTCTAAAATGTAGCTTTGCTCCTAAGACTTTCATTGGAGTGTATTCACTTTTGCAACATGCTCTTGAATTAATTTGTTAGAAAAAATACTTTTTTGTGTACAAATGAACAAATCTTGTTTGCAATCAATTGCCCATATTTGTGGCAGTATTTTGTAGTATAGTGTCCCATAGAAAATGTTGATTCTGAAAGGAAGATAACAGTTTTCTGACAAATATGTTGGGGTGTACTCATTTATGCGGAACTCTGCAATAAACTTCCAGCAGAAGTAGTGAGCCAGTCAACCGTAAATAGCTTCAAATATGCGTTGGACAAGCATAGATCTATACTCAGACAAAAAAGTTAACAAACCCCCCCCCCAAAAAAAAAAAAAAACGGGCAGACTCCGTCTTTTTCTGCCGTGACTTTTCTATCTTTCTATGTCTCAATGCTTTATTTTGCTGAGACATCACCAAAAAAAAACGCCCCCTAGCATTTCAGGCTATGGCCATCTTGAGTAAGGGCAGATAATTCTTTTAGTATTTACTTCCTTGAATCCATCTGCCCTTAGCTGAGTCATACAGGCAGGAGGGTGTGCTTAGCTTAAAATCCGCCCCCCCAAAGACTCCTGGGATGTATTATATCATTGGTCTAGGCATGGAAACCAGGAAGTAACTAAAAGAAGTAAAAAAAATAAAGTTTAAAAAAGTAAATGTGATAGGAAAGTATATCTATATACTAATGATAGCAGCATGAGGATTCAAAATAGTCAATGTTGATTGAGAGAGTGCGGTTCCCCTTTAATTTTAGCACGGACATAGTATGACATTTATGTTCTTAGATTTTAATCTGGGGTGCTTCGAGATTTCGTGTACTTTTAGAGGGTCCAGTGGCTGAAAAAATGCTGGCTTAAAAATGTTCAGCACGATGGTCATTATGAGCAGGAAGGTATTCCCAAGCTTACACTGATTACAGCCTTGTGCTTCAGTAATATCATGTGTTTCAAGATCCCACTTTTAAAAGTTGCATATTAATGTTTTACTGATAATATTTAATTGTGATTTGTGTATGTGTGAAATGATACACGTATCTAGCTTTGAATAAGATGTTGCATGTCCATGTTTCCTTTCCTTTTTTTAGAATGCAATGATGACTTTTGAGGAGGAAAAAATGCAAGTGGCGTGTGATGACTTGAAAATGACAGAAAAATTATGTGAAAGTGATGAAGGTGTGATAGAAACTATCAAAAACAAGATCAAGAAAAATGTAAGTATGGCTATGATTTTGATTATTGTAAAGAGTAACAGTTGTTTTAACTATGATAGAGCTACATTTTACCCACTACCCGTTACAGACCTCAAATCATCTAAGACCTATGGCCTATGTCAGGTCAGACAGATTTTCTGTCCTCTTGACTTCACTGGTTTGCCTTTTCTCTGTAGAAAAGGGATCTCCAAACATTCTAAACACAGGGCCAGTTTAAGGTCTTTCAGACTTTAGGGGGTTAGACTGTGGCCACTGGGAGTAGGAAATGTACTGGTGCCCAGCAGAAGTAAACAATACTCTATCTTTGGTGTCATTTGGTGAAATAATGCCCCATAATTGGTATAGGTAGAAGGAATAGCACCCTACCGTTGGTATGGGGGGAGAAATAGTGCCCCATCGTTTCTATCATTGAAAGGAATAGTACCCCATCGTTGGTGTAGGTGGGAGGAATAGTACCCCATCGTTGGTGTAGGTAGAAGGAATAGTGCCCCATCGTTGGTATCATTGAAAGGAATAGTACCCCATCGTTGGTGTAGGTGGGAGAAATAGTGCCTCATCGTTGATGTCAGTGGGAGGAATAGTGCCTCATCATTGATGTCAGTGGGATCAATAGTGCCCCATCGTTGGTGTCAGTGGGAGGAATAGTGCCCCATCGTTGGTGTCAGTGGGAGGAATAGTGCTCCATTTTTGGTGTCAGTGGGAGGAAATTGATGTTCTATTGAAACTACTAAGAAATTGTGCCTTATTGTTGGTTTCACTGACAGGAATTATGTGACATGTTATTGGATGGAATAAGTCCCCAAGCATCAGATAAAAGCGAGCAGGGCCACATGGCCCCCATGCCACAGTTTGAAGACCTCTGCTATAGACCTTAATAGAGAAGCTGTCCAATTTCAGTGACAGCACTTGGGCATGGTAGCTGACCACTAAAATGCTGCATTATAGGAAAGCAAAGAGAGTGTTATGTACTTCCCCTGAAAGTAACGGGTATTTTTCAGATTGCTACTTATGCGCCCAAAAGTAAACCTTTTACTTTGCCCAAAATGGCTCACTTTCAACCATCACTTTTCATATTAAAGTGGAGAAGTCCTGCTAGATGTCTGGCCCCGTTTGCAGGTATAACTATGTAAAACATTAAAAATTATTGTCTATGCTATATAAAATCCAGTAATACACTTTCTCACCCTGCTCTGCACATTCTCAGTTACTCTCTATTTTTTGGCACTGTGCCAAAAATGTAGAGGCGATCTGCTGACAGTCTAAAGATTTACTGCTGCTCAGAGGCTCTGGGTTTCAACAAAAATGGTTGCCTCCGGGAGGAAGAAACCGAAACAATGCTGGAGGCAGTTTACAGCACACACTAATATTGGTAGCATAATTATTAATGTGGAATGTATAGTTGTTGCTCAAGAATATTATTTTTTATCACGTTATTATGGGTAAAGGTCAGCTTTAATTACCTTTTTTTTAAGGTCATGCCCTTACAAAATGTGTTGCACACAAAACGGATATCATATACTTTAGTAACACAGTAATTCATGCTTTATATTTTTAAAGCTGCCATTTTATGCTAATACCTGTTCAAGAAGTGGGTGAATTTTTGCTAGTATGAATAGACTGGAATGTAAATACGGTTTATTTTTCAAATGCTACTTGTTGTTAAACATCTACTAAAAGCCAGGTTTTTAATAGTTGCAAAAAGCCGGTTTATTATGCATATGTAGCAGAATTTTCAAGGTTGAAAGTCCTTAGCTGACCTTCGTACTCTTTTTGATGTACTGCTATCCTTTGTTCAGTAGTATTTTCAATCTTAAAGCAGAACTAAACCCTCATTCTTTACACCCAAGGAAGCTGCCATCTTAGCCTCCACGTGATCTGTGATCAGTTATGACACCAGCCATTTGATGGCTTGTCACTTTAGTTTAGAGCAGAAGCAAATGTGAAAATTATCATTCATAGCATTCCTTAAATGTAAGGCCCCGTTAACACCTAGTGTTTCGGGATTCCAAGTCGCAATAAAAAGCCATGCGTGTTTGAGTGCCATTCATTTCTAATTGCACCCGAAACGCAGTGGGATAAGGCTATGATAGTAAGATGATTAAAACGTGTTTAAATCACAGGAAAATGCTCATGAAAATATCACATGAAGCTTGTCGCCCAAATAGGTGCAGGAGCTTCTTTTGCACGACAGCCTATTCAGAAGTGATAGGAAGAGGAATAAAAAGAGCTTCATTCCAACTTTTATGTTTAAACAGGTGAACAAAACCATTCTAGAAGCTTAAAGGGTTCTTTTTTATTTCTGCACTTTTCCCACAAAACCTCCTATGCGTTCCAGGATCCCTAGCTCAGCACATTACATTACACTGTTCAGTTGGTAAAAAAATGTGCTCCTTTTCCGCTCCATATGTGTAGACCATGCATGGCCTGTCAGCAAAAAACATCTCAGTACTCGACCATCCCCCATCCTGTGCACAGAAGGTTTGAATGAGCAAGAGTGATGACGGGGTGCACATCTAATGTCTGTCCCAAACACTAAGGAGTTCTTGCTGATGGACCACTAAAAACTTCTTCTTCTTTTTTTTTTTTTTTTTTTTAAGCTTTTTTTTCATCTGGTGGTCCAACCAGTAACACTTCCTATTTGCAGTTGGCTACACTCACCACTTCACTCTATGTAGGAGTAACATAGCCACCCTTGGAGAGCAGCATTGTTAACTTGTGTAGAGGGTAGTGTTAGATGGACATAAAAGGATCTTATATAAATGACTAATAAATGTAAGCCCAAGGGCTCGTTTACACCTGAGGTGCATTTATTATTTTTTTGTGCTAGTAGCCTCTAAAGCATTGCACCAGCGTTCAGCAGATCACTGATACCATGCAGGTCTCCTGCCGACTGTTAATGTATCTGCTAGTTCGTACATCCCATACATCCCGTACGAGCAAACCGATACTTCTGACAGGAAGAATCAATGAAGTACCACAGTGCTCACAGCAGGTAGTTTATTGAGGACTACAAGCTGAGAGCCTCTAAGGCTGTCGGGACCTGTAGTCCATTCATTCACAGAGGACTGTGAATGAATAGCGCAGCCATGTGGGCGGAGTCTTGCACCGCCGCGCTATTTTTGAAAAGTAACAACTAGTATGGGGAACTTCTCTCCATTGCTCTGTCATAGGGAGGGGGGGGGGGGGCAGCAGGTGGTGGCTGCAGGATCAGGAACATGTTACATGTTCCACTCTAAAAAAACGTCAAAACGTAGCATGTTCCCAAAGGTGAACTTATTCTTTAAAGTTTCTTACCTGCCTGTTCACACTGTACACTAAGCTACAGTGCCAAGATAATTCATCTAAAGCACATCTCGGCATGGCCAAAGATTGCAACCTGGAGGAAGCCCGGGGAGAAGATTTCAGCTGTCGGTGAAGGAGCTCCTGGAGTTTAGCTTCACCTTAAAGTGGTTGTAAAGGCTGAAGGTTTTTCCCCTCATGCATTCTATACATAAAGATAAAAAACCTTCTTTGTGCAGCAGCTCCCCCAGCCCCCTCATTACTTAACTGAGCCTCATTATGATCCAGTGATGTGAATGACAGCCTTGTCTGTCCCGGGTATCTGCCTTCTCATTGGCTGAGGCAGCAAATGAGAGCTATTGGCTCCCCCTGCTGTCAATCACAGCCAGTCAGCCAATGAGAAGAGGGAGGGCGGGACCAAGCCATGGCTCCGTGTGTGAATGGACACATGGAGCAGCGGATGCCTCCATAGCAAGCTGCTAGGAAGGAGGGGACATGAGAGCCTGCGGGGAGACTCCTTCCTGTCGGATCCAGGATGCTCTGTGCAAAACCACTGCACACAGTAGGTAAGTATAGACATGTTTTGTTATTGTCCAAAAAAAAAAGTAACCTTTTGGAATCATTTTAAGCAGTTACAGAAACAGGTTGTGTTTCCTTCAGGATAAAGTTTTTAACTAATTTTATAAAAAGCTGACCATTGTTAACACCCCTGACCGTGTTAAATGGGTTTTTAACCCTCTAAATGCCACTTTTGCTGGACAGCTTGATCTGTTAAAGAAGGTTGATAATCACCAGACTTGCTAGCAGGATCTATGAGTAAAAAAACCCCCAAAAAACAAATGCGGCCAGCACATCTAAGTATTGGAATAAGCGCAGTCGTAAATGAATAATTGGATGCCGTAAAACCCACTAGCAGGATGATTATGAATCTAGGCCCAATATCTGTTGTTAAATGCCTGTCTGTTATATGACTTATACACATCTATTGGACTGGGGTTAGTGATCTATACTAATTTATAGATAATCTGTCCAGAACTAAGTTTAATACCATTTCCACAATTAAGGCTATGGTGTGTGCTATGTTAATACCAAGTGTTTACACAAATGTATAACAGTCCATTCACACCAGCTACTATGTTACAATGCAGAGGCTGGTGTGTGGTGTGGTCTGGCCGGACCAGCACAGTGTTCATGCGCCAAACCCGGGTGCAGCACACTGTTCACTTTCTTTTTTAAGCGGACATAGTGACATTTCATCGGCCAGTGTGCGTTGACCTGCACTGCACTGGAAAAAACTACTTTTTTCCAGCATACACCACCTGCACACCAACACAATGCAGTGGTGTGAACTGGCCACTCTGGAGACAAGGCATATTGCCTAGACTTGCAGTGGGGGTGCGGTGGGACTGTGCTGGAATAGCCGCCCAATGCAGTCCCACCACCACACCTGGTGTTATTGGACCCTAACAGATTACCATCAGTTCAAGACCTAAACAGGACTAAACCCAGTATGAATGTATTTAAAAATTGTCCCTTAATGTACAGAAGGCTAATCTTTTAACAATGTCCTAAGCAAAAGATATTGCATATGCATCTGAAATATCTCTCAAATTGTGATTTCAAGCTATGAGGCAATAATACATTAATTACTGGCTAACTATACCAAAATCCTGGTACTGAAGATTACAGTATGAATGTAAGGAAAAAATGGGAGTCATAGT